TTTGCCTGCCGAGGAGTTTTGGCTTTCTCGTTCTCTAACTATCAAGTGACCAGCCCAACGGAAAAATTCCTGTCAAGATAAATGACTTGAGTTTGTTTTTTACGTACATAATATTTATATATATGTATATATATATATATGTACATGTATTCCTATATACATTTGACTATGTGTGTCGGCCGAAAATTATTGCTGTGGGTGAATGCTTATAATGAATAATGAACGATTTTCCGCCCTTTTTCCTGGAGTTTTTTTTGTGGCCAAACAATAAAATGCTTCGCCCATTCAGTAAATTTGTTTGTGGCCTGGCCAAAGCAACCCCTCTGATATGGCCAAGACTGGCAATCGGGTCATCTTTTGTGGTCGAAGCGCTGATATGCCTTCACACTTTGATTTGGTCTCTAACTTTGGGGTCCGCGTCGGTATGTATTAATGGCTTTTATAATGCCCAGCCATAACGTATGTGTATCTACGAGTATAGGGACGTATCTGACCATCTGACCATCTTGGTGGGTGTTTCTTTGGCCAATTTAACCGTCAGCAACTCGCTCCCATTTGTCTGTTTGATTGAACGCTGCTCATAATTGATACATTCGGAATAAATCTGGCTGACCCATATTTTCCTGGGCCGGCTTTTGCTGACGATGCGGTAATGAAATCGGGGTTTTCTCTTTAAAGGCGTTTTCTCTTGATTGATCGGAGCCATTGAAAACGTTTCTCTGGCATGTGGCATAATGATAAATATTTTTAATCAAGCCGCTTGCGATGTCAGTGGAAAATGTAAACTACACTCGTTGATGGTAAATTCAATGAAATAAATGAATTTATTTTGCCCATATTTTCACATTCACACAGTTTTAAGTCTAGTTTTTTTTTTTTTATTTTGAAATAAAACTGTTGTTTTATTCACATATTTTAAGGATATTTATGAGCTTTGAGGCAAAAAGCCGGCGACCTTTCCGCATACATGACGTCCAGGCGACTTCCGTTTCCGCTCTGGCTGCGACATGGGAAAACTTTTAGCATTTATCGTATGAATTTCTGAAGGCATTTCTATGGGCGCTTTTTCCATAAAAATAAATTCAGATTCCTGCATATAGTTCTTTTGTTTTACTTAACCTTTCATTTCCATTTTCCATTTCCCATTTCCCTTTTTCTTAAACTGCAACCCTTTCATTAGAATGCATTTTGGCCAAGAAATTTTTCTTGTTTCTCTTGGGTGCTTTGTGCGTTAGTTTAGCTTTCTGAGCATTTTGTTTTAAATTTATTAAGCCTGTAATCCTTCGATTTTCATTTCCCCAGTGCCAAGTGTATATATTTAAATGAAATGCAAGGCTGGCAACTGAGAAAACTAATCCTCAGCCCAACCACAACAATTACACTTTCAACTGCAGACTGGCAGAGTTTTTCAGCGCTCTGACATTTTAAGTAGGCATTGCCATGAAAGGGATATGTTGGGAGTCCTGGAGTAGAGGAGTAGAAGGAGACCTCTGTTTTCCAGAGCTTGTGTTGTTTGTTTTGTGATTTCCGCTGCCATAGTCGTTGGCCCCACAATTATGATCACACACAGTTGCTTAGTGTTCCTATTCCTATTCCTATTCCCATTTCTATTCCCCCATGTCGTCCTCCTATTCGTGCTGAAATGGCAATGGAAATAGAGCCGTGCGATGACTCCACTCCCCGGGCATAATAGGCAAACACAGTGCGGCTAAAAAGTATGCGAGCACTCACTGGCTCAGGGTTTGTACTCATGTTGGCGTTCATGGCTGGGTGATTGCGGCAACGCCTTTTGGTAGCACAATAGCTGATATTTCACAATCAGACCTGTTAAGTACTCTGTAAAATCTTAAAATATTATTAGGGAAGAGTTAAGGATTCTATATAGGGTGTAAAATAGGTTTGTTAAACTATAAAAAGTATTTTTATTTTTCGTTAACTAAATATTCATTAATATGTGTATAAAAATATGATGAATCCCAAGCATTCCTTCAGAATATTATAAATACTAACTGATTTGGTTTTTAAGAATAATACGAGGTGTGTTCAAAAAGTAAGGTGACTCTTCAAATTTCGCGAATTTCAAATTTTTCGATTATCGATTTTTTTGTTTTGTTATATTGGTACCTTTTTAACATCTGTACCAAGTTTCAATGGAACATCCTTTTGTTTGGTTGTGAGAGGCGTAAAGTTACAGTTGTTTTGCGAGCTCGGCGATTTTTGCTATCGAAAAATATGGATCAAAAAGGTTTTTTTGGCCAAAAACAACACCACAATAATGCCTAGCCACCATATTCCGGATTATGTGCTTTTTTGTTCCCAAAACTGAAGATAATCGAAAAATTTGAAAATTTGAATTTGAAATTAAAAGGTTTCGAAAATCGAAAAATTTGAAATTCGCGAAATTTGAAGAGTCACCTTACTTTTTGAACACACCTCGTATATATAGAAATTCACTTTCCCTCCTATTGCATTTTCAAATATTTTTATTTTTTTATTAAATTTTTAATCCTTTTTGAAAACTTACAAAGCCATTGTAAAAGTCGAGCAAATCTTTAGCCCATCAAATTGGCCCTCTTTTCTTTCTGTCACAGCCAGATGCCCTTTTAGCTGCTTGTTTCTCCCCACTTAAGTATAGTAAGTAAACGGATGTTGACTCGCCTTTTGTGTTTTTTATGTCGTCGGCCTGGTGCACTGGTCGTCGTCGTTTTTTGTTTTCTTTATATTGTTAATTGTTGGCGCGTGCTTTCTATTCATTTGTAATCCGGATTAAAGTAATAAAATAATTAAATAATTATTTAAGGCTAATTTTAAATGTATGATTTAAGGTCTTTGTTCACGCTTCGGATTGTTGTGCTCCTTTCCCCATGAAATGTATTTATTTAACTACACCAGAACACACACGTCCAGCCATTCTTCAAAGAACCTCTTCTGCGACTTTTGGACAGTTTTATGGCTCGCATCAGTCCGTCTTTTGAGCTTTTTTCCCAAACTCATCCAGCTCCCCCTCTGGCGTTCGCTTGGTGACTTATTGGCGTAAAAGTTTTAGAGCCGTTTGGCCAACAGTTAAGGCCAGTCAGCAGCAGCAGGAGCAGAATTTGGGATCGCTTTCGGTATTGCACCCAAATGTATGCCATAAAATATTTTACAGTCGTGCATCTGCGGCGGGTCCGGGCTACGGATTTTCACAGAGCAGATATGTTCCGGAAAATCTCCCCTTTGACGGACTCGAGTTTTTAATGGAGAGTAATGGGTATCGGTTTGTTTTTGCTGAAAAATTCGCAAATAATTGCTTTGATTTCAGTAAGATAGCTTAGGGAATGCTTTAAGATGAAGTCTTTGCCAAAAGTGAATATTAAATTCAGTTCTCTTTTCTTGCCTTTTATTTCCGTTAAGCATTTCTAGGATTTTCCCTCTTAAGCCGGAACTTTAAATATTCCGCATACTGCGTGTTGTTAATAAATTACCCAAATTATGGACGCGAAGCCGTCAGGCGAAATGGCCTTTGTGTTTGGGGGAAACGGGTTGAAGGCGAGCTAAAATTCCCACTAGATGGCGACAGCTGACGGAGGAGGCGGAACGAGGTCGACGAGAAGTGGCTGCCGTTGACGGTGTCGGCATCTTAATAAATTTCCAAGCGCAACACTTTGACGTTATTAATACGCTGGGGCTTCGAGTGCCTCACGCACGCACCTAAAACCACTAACCAAATGGCGGCGAATTTTGCTTAATTACAGGGCTTATCCGCAGCAGACAGTCGACGAGTGCGGTTGCCAGGCTCCAGGAGTTCGAAGGGAAAATTAATTTCGAACGTCACACAGCCTTAACTTACGCTTTCCTTCTGCCATATATATATATTTATTTGCTTAAAATTCGATAGCAATTTATGTGTTCCTCTAAATAGGGCAGCTAGAAGGTGGCTTAATTAAATAAGTGGAAATTCCTTCTGCCACAAGTTCATTGAAATGCGCCAAGCATACAACTTTAACTAAATGCTAATGAAGTTGGGAATCTAATTTAGTGGCTAATTTCCCAGACATCTTAAGGCCGTTTCCGACTGTCTGTCCGTCTGTCAGTTCACAGAAATTTCAATAAAAAAAACTCACTTTTCACCTTATCATGTTGAACTGCCAAATTACCTGATGTTGTTAGGCCCACATGATCTAGTACATCAGGGAAAATATTTGTAGAAAATGCTTGAAAAGCTAAATGGTTCTTAAAAATGTCTTAAGGGATAAAGTTCCTGATACTGAACTTGGCTACAAAGAGGTTAAATCATATCAACTTTTAAGATTTACTAGCTTATCTTCATAAATTAAGTAGAGAAATTTCCCTCAATGTACTTCTAAATTGACTTGGCAAAGGCATTGATGAGCCCCGCCCATCGATGTTAGCAAATAATCTTTCGGCTCTGGCATATTCTCACTGTCAACGGAATAATCAGCCAGGCGGGCTGACATGTTAAGTCACTTTGTCGTCAGGACACACATCCTGACATCCCCAACAACAACCCACCAGCAAAGCCGCCACAACCCGAATCCTTATTTTGCCTGGCAAATTACACGTCTCGGATTTGAATGTTTCGGTTGGTTATTTCCTTTTGTTTGGCGGCAGGGTGTTTGTTTGTGTTTTGTCTTGTGGCATTAGTTTAAATTAATATCAGGAATAGGTATGAGGATGCCTCCTCACCCAACAACCCGCATCCACAATCACATCGGAGAATCCCTTGTCGTGCTTTTGGGCTTCACTTATTTGGCTTTGGGTTAACTAACGAGGGCGATTGGAGCAATAGCCTAAATTAAAATGTTTTGCCAGATAAACATTAATTGCTGACTAAACCAGGACAATTTGTGCAGCACCTGGTGCTGAGCTGGTGGCTTAAGAAGGCAAAGGGCAAAGCCTTAAAGAAAGGCTGTCAAAAAGGTAAGCAAGTGATGAGTTGATTTGGGGTTTTTTGGGTAATTTGGTAGGATTACTTCTTAAGAACAGTCTTTAGCATGAAATAGATTTCAAAATATAAATGTTTATTAAAATTAATAAAACCTTCGATCTAAGGGTTCAAAATGACAAATCAGTTGTCTTCGCTGACAAATTCATCCTGCAGGAAATCGCTTAGCGAGGCGACATCCTCAAGGCCCTGTTCATCTCTAAGCCACTTGTCATGGTCAATACCCTTAATTTCGCACACGACCTTGAAGATTAGTTCCTCCTTTTGTGTATAATAATCTGGTGAATCGAAATTTGCGTCCAGTAAATTGGCTTCTCGTTTGAGTTGCTTTAGTTTCTCTTGAAAAATATGGAAGTCTTCATCAAGTTCGTCGGATGACTGTAGGGTGAGCATGGCCAAAAATTCCGACAGGTGAGACTAAGGGAAGTAAGTTAGTAAGTTAACTTGAAATAGCATTAATCCCACCTGGACTTACCACATTCGCCTGGTTCTTTAGAAGATTCTCATCGTGGGCAAACTCAACCGCATACTGAAGGCTATCCATGGCTTGGGATTTCAGCTTGGCAAGCGGATTCGTCGGAGGTCTGGGGCACACTGTCTTGGCTGTCAGAGCTTCGGGCTCGTCACCACTTATTGGCCTGCAATTTGTTTACATTATGCATGGTGTCAGTTGATTCGCTTTGCCCCCCCCCACACATTCCCCTTTCTCAAGGCCTCCAAACTGTGCCTGCGGATTGTTTATTTTCGTTACCACTCTCTCTCTCTCTCTCTCGGTCCCCCGAATTCCCCTGCGATCAGCCTTAGAAGCATAGCATTTTGACACGTAATCAAAACAGAAATGCTTACTCAGCTGGCAAGTGTATTGCAAATCCAGTCTTTAGATTACAATTAGTTAGCCACAAATAAAAGAAAATTGAGACTTTAGGCATTTGCTGGAAAGAAATCATAAATAAACTCAACTATCTGGTTGTGAAAAATCTATCAACCTCCTTTTTGAGATGTTTTTAACTTAATTCCCATTTAACTTCCATTTACATTTTTTGTAAATTTTCGCAAAAATTCATTTGTCAGCTCCCCGTGAATCCAAACAAATAAAACGCGAAGCTCGTTTTAGCCATAAATAAGAATCAAATTGGGCACACACGAGGAATATGTTTTTTCTGTTAGAATTCTGATTTTTGCCCAAGAAAGCCAAACAAAAGTTGGAAAAGCTACCATAAACGGGCTTTATGCTCAAGCTGCTGCAGTGGAAAAGTAAATAAAGCAGATATAGCGGATATATAACAACGTGAAATACAAGCCAGCCACGGTAAACAGATCCGAAAAATAAAACGATATCGTCGAATGGCGGTTAGGCAAACAAACAGTGAGTGGAAATTGCCAACGTTATTGGGAAAAATGAAGAGAGGAAAATTGGTTTTAAAAAACTTTAGTTTTCCAGGAAATGTATGCTTTGTTTAAATGAGTTTTTTTGGAAGTTGTAAGAACTCAGATAGGTTTCAAATTAAATGAAAAATAAGGTTTAATATGAGTATCTGGAAGAGATATGTTATAGGTAGAAGTCAAATTAGTGGAATTATTGAATATTTTTATATAAATAAAACTCTTTCATTAAATATTTCCTAAATGATTTTCAAGTAGGTAAAACTCAAATTTGTATTATTAAAAACGGAAATTTTCTTCTTCAAACTGCAAGTCATTTCTGCTGAATTTATTTTCGTCACACGTAAGCCGCAAGTAAGTTAAACACTTCGAGTATACTTAAATTAACATAATGAAGTAATTATGTCTTATTAGTCGCTGGAGTATAGGCTAAATTGTTGCAATCACACATTCCAATGCCCACTCCTACGCTCATGGCATCCAAAATTGACAGCCAGGAACTCAATAAGCTGTCTTTTGCCTTCGTGTCTTGATGACGAGGAAAGGAAATTAAATAAATCAAGGCTCATTAGAGGCCTCAAGGTAAACAGGACACATGTTGTTTGCATGTGTGTGTGCGATTTTGTCTATGTGAGTGCACCGTCGAAAGCAAAGTCGACAGCCGATGTCAACTTAATCATCGTCAAGACAACACATTTGACGGCGCCTCCAGGAGTGGAATTTCAACTCCTTTTTCTGGCGATAACACGACATATTGCCAGCTCATTACGCCTCGTCCTGTCTGCCAGTGTGGGAGTGTCTAATGTCTAGCGACTAACGTCTATCGTCTACCAGCTAATGGGTATGCCTTCTTTTGTCGGTTTTCTACTTACTCTGCGACTCTCTTTTGTCTCTGCACTAATAATGGCAATATTACACAAGTAATTAGTCACGCATTTAATTATTATTTATGGGCTTTGACTCAGTGTGCGGCTGTGTCACCGTTTATCTTCCTCGGGGACACCAGTTCATCCTTTTGCCAGTATAGGTGGTACATATGTGCGTGTGCCTAACAATTATTACATGTAATTATCCACTTGAATGCGTGTCTCTGAATTATCAGCAAATTTATATGACACATCAGATAAAACCTAGCAGTTCTGTTTTAGATTGGCATGCCATTAACATATGCATGTCTGAGGAGAGTAAATTATGAATGAAATCTACATAGCTATTCTAGGAATATTGCTCATGTCTCTCAGATAATAAATTCAAAGGTTTATTTTGGTACATGTGGGTCTATTTTTATAACTTCATTAATATACGAAGATGTGGAGGAGAAAAGGACTGAATAGGAAGTATCAAAGTTGACATAAAACCTTAAAGGTATAAAAACTAATTCCAGGCATTTATAAAAACCTATTAAGACCAATCCGATTGAAATGTTTAATCAATGTTCGAGAGCAGCTGTTGTTGTATCAATTGGGTTAAAGTTCTAGTTCAATCACGTAAATCAACGTGGCCAGAAACTCAAGATGTTGGTCCGTCGAAACTTTCATCGATTAAAAACTTTTCGGGCCGCCCAAGTATTATCAGCTAGCGAAAGCGAAAACTTGTAGTCGACAGCTGCCGAATGGAAAAATGAGATTTGTTTGTTGCATAATAATTGGAGGCACTGCCTATTGCCTCTACTGCTTACTGACTCCAACTTCAAATGCCAAAAATCGAATCCAAAAGGCATCCGGAAACCAAAAATAATACAGCAGATTGGCAAAGTCAAATCTCTGTTGATTGGCCTGGCACGTTTCCTTGTCAGCTGTTTATTGAGGCGTGATATAATTAGCATAACATCGACACGATTTCGGCACCAGAGGCAGTCTTAAATACCAAAAAGAAAGAAAGAAAGAAAAGCCAGAAAGCGGGCAAAGACCAGGCTTAGACGCAATTTGCTTAATGCTAAAACTTTTAATCACTCATACGCTCCGTGGCGCCAAAGAAAAAGACCGAACGCCGGCAGAGGAAAAACAAATTCTACGTCACAGAAGAGATGTGCCGCTTTTCCCCGCACCAAAGGCAAATAGTAAACAAAGCGTTGGGTGAAATGAAATAAGTGTAAATACGACAAAAATTTACTCACACACACACACACACACACACAGAAGCACAGCCCAAGATGCTCACTCAAATATGTATGTATGCGCATCTGATTAAACACAAGTGTGTTTGTGTGTGTGAGTTGGGCTTTGCTTATGTGACTTTTATCCCCACCGGATGTCGAGTTTCGAGGGGTAGATGCAGCCCCTTTTGGGTCTCCCCGCCCACCAAAAATTTCATCTGCTTTGCCTTAAGCTTGAGTTTAATTTCTGCTTTGACTTTTGCAATGCACACTCAAAACGGCAAGTACAGTGGACTCTGGGAGAAATGACCTAAATCAAAATGTTTCTTTAGATCTTAATCTGCCTTATGGTGACCCTATCTATGTCATAATATTCATTATAAGTCAAAGTTAGTTTATAGACATTTTTCAGCTTCATTATTCTGGGAACTTTAGACTGCCTTATTAGGGTATTCACTGTAGGATTTCATTAACATTCTCAGCTTGTCAAAAGGGTATTTAACTGGGTTTTCTATTTTTGGCTTGTTTTAATATTCTTAGGATTCCAAATTAGGTAACTTAAATATATAAATTAGTTAAAATTAAAGGATTATTTATCCTAAAAAATGATTTATTATTTTCTTTTTGTACAATGTATTTAATATTCAAATAAGTTTGACCTTATTACGTATACCTATTGATTTTACTTAATAAATATAGTTTAAATATTTATGAATGAAAGGGTGTTTAAAAATTCAAAGCCTCCTTGTGCGACTTCTCGTCTTTTTCTGTGGTTTTTCCGTTCTTCAGATTACAATGTAAGCTGCGGCACGTTAAAGTGCGACTATGTGTGTGCTTGTGTGTGTGTCAGTGGTTTTGCAAGAATGTGGTGTGGATGGGGGTGTGTGTGCCGACCTATTTGCTTAAACACACTCTAACTGGCACTCAGCCCACTTGGCCACGCCTCCGAGCAAAGAACTGCGCCCTCAGAAAACGGCTGGCTGCGTCTTCTACTTTCGCCTCTCATAACACATTAGCGAAAGTGAAAGCCGCCATAATGACTGCCCCCAGTTGATTTCCATTCGCTTTTCCTGTCTCCATGTCGCACTGCGCCCTGCCATGCCCATACATTCATATTAGTCGAGCGAGACACCAAAAACGAGCGAAATGCAAATTGGGGGGATTGAGAATGATGGTGAGACATTCTGAGCTCCTGCAAGGCGATTACTTAAGTTTTTGGTGCCAAAATATCATGGCATAATGGGTTAAAGGTTTATTAGATATTCTCTTCTTTACGTAAACGAAGAACATTTTGGTTTCATTTTTCTTCTCCTTAAGATGCGAGAAATAAGTGATCTATGATTTTTATTTTTAACCACTTTTTTTTAACACATTATCCATTTTTGCTATAAAATGCTACAAAAGTTATATTTTGATTTTTGAATACAGTTCCATTGGGAATTAAATTATGAGCCCAACGAGGTATGACATTTCACTTCCCGACTATTATTGGCTTAGGTATAGAAAAGGTACTGAGTTTTGGGCAAATATCAGGAAAGACCGAATTGCCCATTTTTTGGAAAGGGGTAGCATCATTAAATTTTTCAAAAAATGGCCGAAAATGTACATTTTACAATGTGAATGCAGTTTTATTGGAAATTGAATTACAAGCTTAACGAGATATAACATTCCAAATTCCTACAATTAGTGACTTTTCTATGCGAAAAATACTGATTTTTAGGGGGGAATTCCAGTTTGACCACATATCGAATTTTTGCAAAGAAAAATGGCCAAGAATGTACACTTCAAATGGTGAATGCAGTTTTGTTATGCATCGAAATACAAAGTCAACGAGGTATACCATTCCATATTCCGCCCATTTTTGGCATTGCTATGCGAAAAATACTGATTTTTGGGAGAAAATCAGGGAAACCAAATTTCTCATGCTGTATGTTGTATTAGAAAGTCATTCTATTGAAGATTAAATTACAAAGTCAATTGCATTTAAACATATTTTTATCTGAAACTAAAGAAAGTAATTTTATTACCTGTCAGAAGATGTCAGTTGAATTGCGCGGATCACAGAAACCACAGTTTGACTGAACCTCCAGAAGCTCCAGAAACTTTCAACGATAGACCCAACGTAAAACC